AAGTGAGAAATAGAATTCATTTTCCATTTTCCTTGGAAAATTAGGCTTATTAAACACAACCTTAGTGATATTCTGGTGGTAGAGTTGCCAGGGCAATGCGAAGGCGGGAGGACTATGGTTGGAAGGAGAAACCAATTGTTGGGAGACAGAGTTCAGTGTAAAGTGGGACCACGTCATTTTTAACTATCATGATGTAAGAGGCACAACTGTCTACTAAAGCATTATCATATGCCATTTTAAAAAGAAAAACATGCATTCTCTGATGTGGCCTCTAGCGGTGTTGTTTTACTTTGATTACTTGGGTCATAATTGTTTGTTGAAACTTAAATATCCAAATTTTTATGAAGCATGTGGTGATGTGAAACATTTTTTATTGCAGGCTCATTTATGCTGGTAAGCAGCTTGCAGATGACAAAACTGCTAAAGATTACAACATTGAGGGTGGCTCTGTTCTTCACCTGGTACTTGCTCTCAGGGGTGGCGGTCTTTAGATAGCACTGTGATATGCTTGCATTGAACTATTTATTCTATATACCTGTGGAGAAACCAGGAAACTTGTGCCTAAACATGAGCTTTTATTAATTTGCCCCTAGACATACAATCTCATTTCCTATAAGCAGCCTGATGCTTTCTTTGTTCTCTCCATGACACTGTTTGAGATGATACTTTGAAGTAATGAATTTATAATCTTGGCTATTGAATTGAACTGTGGTTATTGGTTACTTGTAAGTGGTATGCTTGAACTTTCTTCTCCATGCTGTACTTTTTGGTTGTGTCGTCTTATAGTCTTATTCTATTGCTGGCTAATTTATGCTGGCAAGCGACTTGCAGATAACACAAGTCACAAAACTGCTAAAGAAAACCATTGTTTATCATCTGATATGCTTGCGTTTATTATGAATCAAGGATTAGGAAATCTATTTCAAATAAGGTGATTTCGGAATAAATTCCTCGTCTATCTTTGCTAAAAATAATAGCGTAAATTTGATTTTTTATCTTCAAATCCTACTCTTATTCTATTGTAGACTAGTCATATGTAACTATACCAAACTTCTTTCGAACATGTTTCGATAATTTTTTTAAAGTATTTTATCCTGCTAGCTAGAAGAGTATTTAGAGGAGGCCAGCCTAAGGTAACTTTCTCATGAAACTCTTTTACAAGAAACATAATCAAAAGCAAAAGTCCTAATAAACGGCCCTTTATTCTTGTCTTAACTCAGCAATAAGGTCTTTTTTTTCTTGAGTTTCACACATAATGATGTGAAATATAAAGTAAATGATGTCAAATCTTCTCAAATCAACGGTTGAAATGCAGTGCCAGATTGACTAACAACATAAATACTGTACAAAGGATCAATTTTATATTTTGGTATTTAATTAATTAGGAATGAAATCAAATGCTGACATTATATTGTTACTTATGATTTCTACTGTTTTTATTAGTTGCTAAACACTTTATGGATTTTCCATCTAATATTTATTTTTCCATTAAATAGGTTTATTATTTACCAAGTAAGCTCGTAGTTTTACTCTTTAATATTATTGCTTAGGATTCATGGTATGGTACTTGTTGGTTAGTCTTGTCTCTCAAATTATATATAGACAGGAGCTGAAGTGATAAAGAAACCACCATGTAACGAGACAGAAAATTTCTAGGGTGGCTGTACTTTGTTAGTTATCCTAAACATTTTTCATTGGCCTGTAAGAAATGGGAAGAGG